CCGAGCCAGAGCCACATCTTTAACAACAGGTTGTTGGGAATTTGGGGAAGTGATTTCAGTTGTGGGTGGGATAGCCCTTATGAATAAAAAAAATCATGTCACTGGGCAGTATTTTGAGTTAAGACACCCACCAAAACCTCATTTCCCTTGGTCTCTACCAGACTGATGCTACTAGCTCTGTGACGAGTGTTTTGTCTTCACACCAATTGGGTTTGCACTCAGTAGACCCAAATGACATTTTTCTTGCCTAAGAAGCTCGAGGCCGATGCTAAAGACAGCCATGTGAAAATGCTTCACAAACATAACACATGAATTAACTCCAACACAAAGAAATACAACCAAATAGATGTAAACACAGTGATTCTGAGGCCAGTAACCAAGTAGTTGCTATGTACTGCTCTGGAAACCAAATCCTATAACGTTTGTTAGCAGATAAGTCACAGAAGAGCACAGAAACCACAGAACTGTGAATCACAGGTAATGGCTGAACTGAAAGTAAAACTAACAGGCTCTTGATTTCAAGAGAGTTCATAAGCCTTTCCCTCAATTTTAATCAAGTTTTAATAGAGTAGCGATCACAGTTACCTGGAGAAAGTCACATGACATTAGGTCATGGTTTCACGTGGCTGTGAGAACCATGTGGTACAGCATGATAATATAGACTAGGAATCCAATACCATGTAAATGTAGGATGCATAATAGTTTACTTTCAATTCATGCAAATGCAGAGGCTCCAAAAATGTATATACATTTTAAGAAAGGCAAAAAACTATATTAACATTATAATACACAAGTCACATTTGACTTCTGCAATTACAACAGAGGCACGATCTAATATACAAGATAACAAATGTTATAGCGTATATTGAATATTACAATTTTAATACAGGTTTTCCCTTTCCTAAAGTGTGTATGCATTTTTTTGTACCTTCTGTATATAACTTTTCCGGGTTATGTTAGAGATTTAGCTTCCTCACAAATAAATAGCAACAGGAACTCTAAAAATAGGAGTTACTTAGTAATGATCAGCTTATCCTCTTTAC